AACTGGAATTAACCATTTCTATGGTTGTAAAATGTCAGATTTATTTATCAATCCCTGAACTCCCAAATAAGGATTAATGACAACACATCTATATGCATTAAAGAACCAATTCATTTTACTTTGTTCAATTCATTTTATTTAAAGAAATTTTAAAATTGGACTCAGGCCAACTAAATCCAAAGGGTTACTTTGGTAACCAACCTATGAGACTATATAACCCTACCCTTCTGTGATCAGATGACCCATCAATGATTTCCATTGTGTAATTTATATTGTGGTGTTATTATCTGGCCTTTTTACTTATGCAAAACAAATTTCCTGATCATTCATATTTTACTGAGAACTGTAAATATTTTCCAGGACATATCAAAGCATCTATAGGCTAGCACAGCTTTATTAGTTGTAATAGTTCTAAATAATAAGAAAGCTCTCAATTATTTATTGGCAAGGCAAGACAGAATACAATAATGATTGAGCACACTGGTTAAGAAAAGCTTAGCTATCAATTAATGAATAATATAAAGGGCCAATGAATTTTACCAAATGACCAATATACTCATGGGACTGATCCTCATAGTTTTCAAGTAATTGAAGGGAGAAAAAGATAACACAAAGACATTGGGAGCCATTAACCATACATATTCACAAGATTTTGTTAGTCTATTCAGGATCAATTGCTCTCTAATAATATCTGGAAAGCTAGCTTGTTTAATAAAAAATTTTCAAGTTCCAAGATTTTTTTTCTTTGTATATACTGCCTCTAATCTTTTATTTATTCTTTGAAAGGGCACTAGATCAATTAGTCATGAACTAATCATAGTGTATAAGTTAAAAGCAAGAAGGAATTCTGCACTTGGAATGTTGTAATGACTTCCAAGTTCACTGCTTGTTTCAGTGTAATACTGCAATTTACATGTTCTTAGAGAAATGCATTTGTAGATAATCTTTTCCAATCTTAATTTTTCTATAAAATTATCAAGTGACCTAAACATATTTCTGCATTACAAATGTTTGAAAATAATACTGTCATCAAGTATAAGATAGTAATAGTAACATTATGAAAAATAATAAATAGGAAGAGGACATGAAAGAGGAAGAAAAAGAAAATGACTTACTTGCATATTCTGTTACACTCATTATAAGTAACTATGTAATTTTAGAAATAAAATTGGTGACACTGATATCACTTAACGTGGCAAACCAAAAGAATTCATCAAAATTATCAAGCATTTCATTAAAGATTTGAATTGTTATCTATAATCACTAATAGTGAAACTCATTATGAAATGTGTCTTGTGATAATTACAGAAATCAAAACTATTACTTTATTTTTGGCTAAACTTTTTAAAACTACACAGCCAAAGTACTGAGAACTCATGAAATTGAAAACAAAATCTAGGGGTCTCCCTGGTGACACAGGGGCTAAAGTGTTGGTGCAAACAAGCTAAGACACTGTGGCATGAATTCCATCCCGTCAGAGAGCTGAATCCACATGGTGCTGTGCACCTTTCCTACTCACCTGCTGCTCCCCTCTACAGTGTATCTCAGTATGTCCACCTGTTCCACTCCATACTCTGTCTCTAGTGAATCCATTCTCCACCACCTCCCCACTCCTATATCTCTGGCCTATACCCCAGTTCTTGATGCATAAAGAAATAAAATAAATCTTAAAAATTCTAGGTCTAATATCACTTAACATAAAACAATGTATTGTCACAAATAAGAGCACAAATGCTGGAGTCTAAAGTCAAACTCTTTAGTTCAAATACTTTTATTATATCTAAAATCTCCAAGTAGTTACTTAACCTCTTTGTCTTAGCTTTCTCATATACAGAAGCAGAAAGACAACATGCTTATCCTGATGGAATGATATGAAGATTAAATGAAGTAGTATATTTAAATGAGTTAGACGAGTACCTAGAGCAAAGTCATACTCAGTAACAGTGAACTACTATTTCACAATACTCCATTACTTAAAAATTTTAACTATGTGATAAAAGTTAAAAGAGCCCTATTGAAGTTACTTAGTTAAAGATGAAAATAAAAAGCTGTATCATAGAGAATATGTCAATTTTTACTCATTAAAAATATCTCACTGGTTTAAAAATTGGTAGAAATAATATAGGAAAGCAATGTAGGAACAGAGTAAAACGTCTTTCTTTATCATTAAAAACAACTGTATGACTAATCCAACAAGAGCTCATACAGATACTATTTAACTTGAAAATAACTGTCTTAGTCATTCATAGGTAAGCTAATGCAGTAAGAAACTGAAGCCAGAACATCATGGAAAAAATACAGGATGTTATCGATGTTGTTAATATTTTAATTAAAATGACCTTTATAATACTAGAATCTTTATGATATCTTGAAATGAGATAAAGAGTGACCATACACAGTATAGTCACTGGGTATTATGTCAACACTTAAAAGAGTTGTGTAATTTAAAAACGGGGGGGGTGGGGCGGAGAGAAATGCACGGGATTATGATGATGGCACACGGGTGATTTGGTGATGGGAAACCCGCGGGGATTACAATCGAGATGGGAAAAAAAATGTACAAAATGATGTAAAAATAAACTTTTGTAATAAAAAAAAGAGTTGTGTAATTTAGGAAGAATTATGTTTTTTTTCAAAGACAGGTTCTACAACTGTTCACCCTAATAAGAAGCCATTGAACAAATATTCTAAAAGAAATTAAAACATTTTTGTCCTTTATTATAAATGTGTTATTTAATGTAAATGAAATCAAACTGCCTTTTTATTTGATTTAAAAGGAAACCATCTTTAATTGATGCTCTTTGGCTGACTTACGTTTAGGGACCACGTCTCACAGGATAGGCATCTCTGTTGAAATATACTAATGCCAATGCAAAGGAAATCCCTTTAGAATAGAAACCTACAACTTTGCCCTGAAGCTAACATAATTATTGAGGCTGACCTATTGGTAGAGAGTGTCCTAGATTTTCATTAATTTGTTCCCAAATGTTTTAAAAAAAAATGATTTTTTTCTTTTTCTCTAGAAATAAACAAGATAGGTGGCCAGTTAGCTACTATAAAACGTTTGCCAGTAAACTAAGAATATGAAGATTGATTTTACTTTATTTATATTAAAGTATTTAAATGCAAAAATCACATTTTCTGAAAACCGGCATATTTCAGGATGCTGCATTTTACATACTTGGTTCTTTTTTTGATTTGTCTCTAAATTGAAGATATTGTGGAAAACCATAATAGGACACAATTCAGTGGCTCATCTAACTTTTTCTGAGTTCCAAAGTACTACTGTTTTATCAACAAATATACAGGTAAGTCTATAAACAACCCTATAAAATAGCACTGGGAAGTAAACTAAAATTGATTGCTAATACTTTTGAATTTATTTCACATTGGGGGAGAGAAAATCAGTTTATATTCATTATTATTCTGATCCAGTATCTTCTATAAAAACAGTTGTTATTGAACACTAAACCAGAGTCCACATAAAATTATTTTCAGTTGATTTTCCACTAAGTATTGCTAACATAATAATAAAAAGATTTTTAAAAATACTTTATTATCTTTTTCTAGTTATGAAAGATTGTTTAATAAGTTTACAGAGTTACAATATAAAGGGTGACGGTTTTCTTTTTATTTACCTGAATACAACCTTCTACTGATAAAACTCCAGAAAGCTTTACCATACTGTGAGCAAATGGAAAAATAGCATGTTAAATACAGTGTAGAAAAGGATAAAAAACTACAGAGCCCAGTAGGTTCATATAGGTTCATATGAACAATCATATACATGAAAAATGCTGGTATCAAAGACTTTTAGCACTCTCTGGAAGAAAAAATAATTTTGGTAGTCTTTAAAATTCATGTTTTTCATAGTAATATAGCTGCTAAACTATAATAAACACATGATCAGCATGCATGAGTAGGTTTGAATTCCAATAATGGTGAGTTTATAAATTTAAACAATCATATTATGAATACAGACCCTCAATGGAACTTACCAAAAATGAGGCCATTATTTGCTACAGAAATTTAAGAGAGTAGAAGACAGAAATACATGAGTTTATCATGAAGGATGTAAGCACTGTAATTGGAGATTTGGTCATCAACCCTCAATGTTGACACACATGTGGGACATTTAAAACTAGAAACAGAAGAAATTAGGATAAATGAAAAATTAATAGTAATATTCTCTGGGGAAATATATCAATATAGGAGTAGATGCTAGTGTCTGTTGAAATATAAAAATTGGTATCAAAATTAACTTATCAAAAAAAGCTTAGAGGTATTTTATATCCATACCTTGCAAAGGATTAATAAGTCTTTCTTTAAAATATTCCTCAGTAGAATATGGTAAAGGATGATGGCTGCTATGGTTGTGGAGAATTTTGGTGACCACAGTTGAGGGGAGAAATACATTGTCCAGAAATTAACAATAATGTAAGAAAAAAGTACTACATTTAAAAATATTTTTTAAAAAATAGCCCTTGGAAAACTTATCTTTGAAAGGGCACTAATGTGTAGAAACCATTTTTAAAAACTCATTGTGAACCTGTGGTTTTAAAGATGAGATATTCAGACATTTTCATGTCTAAATATCTAAAAAGCAATTTATTTTCAAATACCATGTTACTTCCATAAGCTTGTACTTTAAATGTAGTTTTGGGGTTTTTTTTTTTTCTGGAAAAAAAGACACCTAGAGAAATATCTTCTAATTTTGGAAATGCCAAATTATATACACTAACCAGGAATTTGTACATTATCATTGGGTAATTCATGCAGAGTAAACCTTTTCTGAGGATTCACAAAAGCATTTCCAGAAAATCCCTGTGTAAAAAATCTGTGTTACTTTTGTTCTCACATGCTTGACCTATCTACTATGTGAAAGCTGGTTTTCATGAGACAATATAAGGATAACTGACAAGTTTCTTTTTATAGCTTCGACACACTCTAATTTAGAATCTCGTTTCTCTACATTCTCTATCACAGCCAAAAAACCAGGAATGACTATGAAAAATCATTCCCTGACAACTGAATTTATCCTCATAGGATTTACAGATCACCCAGTGCTGAAGACCCTTCTGTTTTTGCTGTTCTTTGTCATCTATGTGATTACCATGGTGGGGAATCTTGGCCTGGTAGTACTGATTTTTATGGAACGTCGTCTTCATACACCAATGTACATCTTCCTGGGCAACCTTGCTCTGATGGATTCCTGTTGTTTCTGTGCTATCACACCCAAGATGTTAGAGAACTTCTTCTCTAAGGACAGGATGATATCCCTCTATGAATGCATGGCCCAGTTTTATTTTCTCTGTCTGGCTGAAACTGCAGATTGCTTTCTCCTAGCAGCAATGGCCTATGATCGCTATGTGGCCATATGTAGCCCACTGCAGTACCACACCATGATGTCAAAGAAACTCTGTGTTCAGATGACTATAGGGACCTTCATAGCTAGTAACCTGCATTCCATGATCCATGTAGGGTTTCTGTTAAGGTTAACTTTCTGCAGATCTAATCAAATCGACCACTTTTTTTGTGATATTCTTCCATTATACAGACTTTCCTGTACTGACCCTTATATCAATGAACTAATGATATACATTTTTTCAATGCCAATTCAAATCTTTACCATTGGCACTGTATTGATCTCTTATTTTTGCATCCTCTTCACAATTTTCAGAATGAAATCCAAAGAAGGGAGAGGTAAAGCATTTTCAACTTGTGCATCCCATTTTCTATCTGTTTCAATATTCTACATTTGTCTGCTCATGTATATTCGACCATTTGAAGAAGGGGATAAAGATATACCAGTAGCAATTTTTTATACAATTATAATACCTTTATTAAATCCTTTTATTTATAGCCTGAGGAATAAGGAGGTGATCAATGTTCTGGAAAAAATTATGAGGAATTACAATATTCTTAAACAAGCATCATCCTCTGTGCAAAACTGACTAATTTATTAAAATGTTTACACAGATAAAGGACACAGAGATAAAGGACACAGAGATAAAAAAGTACATTTTAATACTAATCTCTAAATAATTATATCGTGTTTGTTAAATGATATGTGAAAAAATATCAAAACTGTCTCTCAAATTTTAATACAAATTCCACAATTAGCAGGAAAAATCAGAAGGAAACTTAGTGGTAACTTCTATTACCAACACTCATGGAATTGTGTCAAACTATCTGATCAAATAGCAATAAGATAGGCCCTCCCTGGTGGCAGCAGTGGGTTAAGGCACAGCACAAAGAGGCTTAAACCACTTCCGCATGAGTTCTATTCCCGCCTGCCCCGGAGGTGACCACATGGCTCGGCAGACCTCTCCTGGCCCGCTCGCTGCTCCCCTCAACAGTGTACTTCGTCGATCTGCCTGTTCTGTACCCCACTCTGTCTCTGGTGAATTCTCTCACCCTCCGCATATCTGGCCTGTACCCCAGTTCTGTACGAATAAATAATAAAATAAATCTTAAAAAATATATATCAATAAGATGATATAGCATCAAAATTAAATGTGCAGAAGATTTCATTAAGTTAATGAAAGACACCATAACTGATACTATACAGGACATTTGAAATAGTTAAAATTTCCTAGTAAGAGTGTCAGATGATAACTTTCATTTAGAAAACTGATCTGGCAGAAACATGTAGATTAGTTTTGGAGGGAAAAGATTAGAAGCAAGCTAATCTATATTTAATGAAGTCTGACCTACATAAGACTCCAACAGAGGAAAAAACAGAATTGCATACAGTTGATTAAGAGCTATATTAACCTGGTTAAGTTCCTTTATCTTTTTGAAGACTATGGATATGGATATGGATATGGATATGGATATGGATATGGATATATAACTGTAGCATATAGTAAATATTCTATAAACATTAAAAATATTGTGGCACTATTGTTCTGTTTTTTCATATTTTTGAGTAATAGTGAGATATATTAATACTTCATGTGTTTATTAGTCATTTTTACTTTTATGAAATGTTCATTTTCCTTTAAATCTAATCGATTTTTCCATCTTTATTTCCATCAATGTTAAAAAGTGAAGACTGGGGCCTCCTTGTTGGCACAAGGGGTTAAGTCTCAGCATTATGAAGCTATCAGCAGCAACTGCACCACAAGTTCAATCCTCAGCCAGACAGCTGACCCATATGATGAAACAGATCTCTCCTGTCTCACCCACTGCTACCCTCAGCAGTGTATTTCAGTCAATCGCCTGTTCTGTTTCCCACTCTGTCTCTGGTGAATCTCTCACCCCCAACATCTCTGGCCTACACCCTAGCTCTTATATGCATAAATAATTTTTTTAATTAAAAAGTAAAGATATTAAATTGTAACCATTTGAGGCAAATAACTTGTGTGTTAATAGTCTTTTAAAATTTGTGTTATTTATAACTGATAAACATTTTAATTTTATATATTCAAATTTATTGATTTTTGTGTTATCCTTTCATAATTATTTGTTTTGAATTTCTTTACTCAATCTGAGGTCTACTAGTAACTTATATCTTCTCTTTTTCTTCTATTTTGTTCTCCTGTTTCTCCTACTTCTTTTATCTTTTTATTTCTTGATAGTTAAAATTTTGCACTTGACTTTTGAATCCTGCAGACTTTTATTTAACATATGGAATGAATTAAATATATAACTATTTGGTTTTGTTCTCCAAAAGATAATTCACAGATTAACTAAAGTAATACTCAACAGAGAACTTGTTTGGGAAACTGGCAAAATAACATTTTTTTTTTAAAGATTTATTTATTCATACAGAACTGGGGTACAGGCCAGAGATGCGGAGGGTGAGAGGATTCACCAGAGACAGAGTGGGGAGCAGAACAGGCAGATCGACGAAGTACACTGCTGAGGGGAGCAGCGGGCGGGTCAGGAGAGGTCTGCCACGCCATGTGGTCACCTCCGGGGCAGGCGGGAATCGAACTCATGCGGAAGCGGCTTTAGATTCTCAGTGCCGCGCCTTAACCCGCTGCGCCACCAGGGAGGGCCCAAAATAACATTTTTTTAAGAAAAAATAATAAAATGATTACACTTGATGTATTACATGTTACTACATATTGAAGTTTCAAAACTGAAATGAAATCCATATTATCCAAAAGTAAATCCTTAAAAAAATAACACCACAAATCAAGAGGGAAGAAAAGATAGTTTAATAAAAGATCCTAATTTCAATTTTTAAATTATTTATCACTTCCATTTGTGTTAAATATGGCAGTTACCCTTCATTCAGGCATTTTATAAACATACTTTGTATGGTTCCTTTTCCTAAAGCCAAAATTTTTATATGCAGCACTTTTATTCAGTTGGAATACATTCATTTTGAACATTTGAAGTAAAAGCTAATAGTTTTTTTCATGGCTAACCAGTAGTTGCAAAAGTATTAACTAGCTCTTTCCTTACTGATCTTTTGCCTCCATTTTATTCATGCATAATCATCCAATTGCATTCATTATAAAGATCTATTTTTAGCCTACCTAGTCTAACAAAATACATGACAGTCCTAGTTCTTAAATTATAGTAGAGGAATATGCTTAAAGTAATTGAACTAAATAGTAGTAATAATTGTGATGAGGAAGACTCCTCTGCCTGTTGCTATAGTCTGAATTTTAGGATTCTAAAAGATAATCTATTTTTTCTTTTCATATGACTAGTGATTTTTTTATGTTTTAATATCATCAATACAAAAGTGACCTGGAATGTACATTTCTAGTGCTGTCATGTCATATTTGAACATATCAAAGACATCTCAAATTTACGTGATCAAAATACAGCTCTTGAATTTTCTTATAAACATGGTTCTCCCTGGTTTTCTCCATCTTGATAGCCTCCTCCAACCATTTGAAAAAAGAAGAAATTTGAAGTTATCCTCCATCTCCCTCTGCTCATATTTCAACATTCAAAAGACGTCAGTTCTATCTCTGAAATATAACTTCAATATGCTCATATTTCTCCATATACATCAATCAATAGTTTTCCTTTATATCAATAACTTTCTGTTGCTCCTTCATTTCCTTTTAATTTTATTCGTGAACCATTTAAAACTTATTAGTAAGTGGTATATTACAAAAACTGTAGTCTATGTCTACCATAAACTATACATTTTAGCTAACAATTATTTTTAGCAATTTCTCTGAAAAGTTACCTTCATCCAATGCAGACGTATTAGTCAACTTCCTATTACAGTAAGTGCATATTTGGTAATTTGGCACTTCCATTAATCTCATCCTTGGTGGTATATCATAATTTTCAATAATTCAATAATTATTTTATTAGGGACAATACTTTCCCTAATAAGTTTCAGAGACTCATGTACCAGTTATTTTCTTTTCTGTATGATTTGAAGAATTTTTTTAATTCTTGCCAGATTCCTTACATCATATCTTACCCTTTTTACACTTTTGTTTGTTTTACTTTTATCCTCCTAGTCATGGCTCTCCTCTCCTCATCGACCCTTTTACTAATAATAGAATCTCTTGCACCTCGGATTCTTGTAACTTAGTTTGTAAAATGATTATATGTTTTTCTCCTATTCCTTTTCTTCACATAATCATCTTATATATTTCTTTTTGTCCACCTCTATTTTTATTTTTGACTGTTTCAAGAAAGGTGTTTTCCATGTCTGCAAATACTATGTAAAGATAAGTTCAAGGTGAAGTTTTCTACAAAAATTTTCTACTTCTAATTCTAGGAAGAATTTCTATCTAACAAAATATTTCTAGTAATTTTTTCAACTTTCTTCTTTTTTGATTGTGTGAATGAAACCTATCAAATTTCTGTTTGTTTCAAAATAACTTAAATTTTTCCTGGATAAGCAATGATAGATTATTCTATTTGAGCAGGGGTGTGAGGACACTATAGTTCACTAAGCTATTAGTTGGGTAGGACTGTTGCTCTTTGCTATCTGACTTAGTAATTGAGAAATAGCTATTTCTCTAGTAAATGGTTTACCTTTATGAAGTAGTAGAGTTGCATCTTTTGACTTTGCAATTGCCTTTTATTTCTGTAGCAATTTGTTGAAGTCCCAAGAAATAGACTTTGAGAAGGAGATAAACATGCAAGAATTTTGTTGGGGAATGTCCTCAGCTATAATGCAGATTAAGATTGGACTTTCAGCAATCCCATATAAAGTGAGGTTTTAAGATATTGTTTTAAAGACCCTATGTGTTAAGCAAGTTCCTGAAATTTCATATTTTCCATGAAATTGTCATTGGATGCAGGCTCCCCCAAGGAAAGGATATTATTTTTATAAAACAATTCTCCTTAACTTAAGGATATTTCCTGGAAAGGGAATCAAATGGGAGCAGTCAGTAACTACCACTCACACATCTGAGGAAATACGGTAGAACATGGGTTGTGAGCCACAATTCAGTTATAGGTTTTCTCTTACACTGTTAAGGTCCACATGCTTCTTATAATAATTTTGGGTAAACTTATTATAGATTTGAGATGTTCTCTTTTCTGGAGAACCTTGCAAGATGAATGTTAATAGGATAACCTGCAGTTTCCAATTGTTGCAATGAGTCTCAAAGTCATACTAACATTCACCAACTCCATCCCCACAAAAACCTCTGCCTAATATTTCTGCTGTTCCAGGTGATTAATATGATAGAATGACCTAGATGTCAGATCCCTAGTGGGGAAGAGTATTATGAACCTCTTGTCATTGTACTCTTTTCAGGCTATGACTGTTTTGTCTATTTACTGTCAAATTTGAGCAGGGAAATACCAAAAGAGGTATATGGATCAATTGAATGCCAACCATATTTGGTTTTGCTCACACTTTTATGACAATCAACTATCTCTCCCTGAAGCAGGGTCAGTTACCCCTGAAAAACTTGTGACTCCTTTTTCTTGCCTGGTGGTCTCTTAGACTAAGGAACCCAAAATGACGAATGGCAATTATAGCTTCTTCTGTGCTAAAGTGTCTCTCCTGAGA